ATATATTCTGAATGAAAATGATATTCTAAATTGATTAAGCCACATTTATGGGCTTGTATGGTATATTGTTGACTTTCTTCTAGTCGCAAAAATGGAAATATCGACTTCAAATATGGTAGAAACATTGAAAATTTTTGCACGCCGATTTATACTGGAAATGAGCCAATTTAGTTAGAGAAGAAGTCCACAGTATAGTATAAAAGCAAAGATTTCAATGGTGGTAGGTGTGAGAGGCAATTTATTTTATTACCTTCCATCATACAATGCAAGCAGCATTCACGACAGCATTTCGACAAAAACTGGTGAAAAATGATATTATACTGGCGTAGTAATAGTAGAAGGTAAATATGGAAAATTTGAATGAAAATATTTTTTGAACCACTCCCATATAGTCGTTCTCACAAAAATCAAGCCTCCGTAAATTTTAATTTTTTTAAATCTCAAATATACATTTACTGCTAAATTTAAACTAAATCTATGTATTTTTCGAACCTTATTGTATGTAATGATCCTCATTAAAAGTAAACTATTAGAATTTTTCTGCTACTCATGGATCCTAATTAAGTAGAATTACCTTTCTTGTCAAAAATCTTTTCACTCTTCACCTATCTTACTTTTCATTAAAATGCTTTTATGGGGTGGGTTCCAAAAAAAAAAAAAAAAAATGAACAAATTTGCTGCAGTTATTTCTTTGCCAAATTATTATTATAGACCAGTTTAGTGTTATAACTGAACAGTAATGCTCAGCGACTTTAGTCGAGAAATTTTTTATTTAACGGTTAATTCGGCTATTGTTGGTTTAAAATGACAATTCCTTTGACCGATTTCCATACACATTCGATGACGTTTTATGGTAACGTGCAAAACTTATATGTTCCCTCTGAGAATTGCATTTTATTTCCTTCTTCCCATGAGTTACGCAAATCTTATTCGCATTTTGTTTTTCTAACTGTACGGAATGGCTTAACTGTAGGAAAAATACATGTGTGCTTATTGCGGTTGTATATTGATGATGTAATAAGTTATTGCCATGTATTGTCTGCACACACGATTAACAATGATATAATACAACAAGTGAAACCATACCACAACTTAATAATAAACATTATCGACTATCTGATTCGTATGTATGGACGAACATAACACCAACAATCAAACTTCAACACTTATAAAAAAACAGATAATGTATGTGTGTGCACTTGTATTAATGTTTGCCTTCATACTTTCATTTGTGTTTATGTTTATGCACGTTAAAATGAGTTAAAAGTTAATTTGCCAATTTGTCAGAATTTGTTATTATTTGTAACGCTGCTCAGATGTGAGAACTTGACGTACTTATGATGACTTTGCTTTACAATCATAAAACCTTTATGAACAATCACGTAATGTACGTATATCGGTGTATATACGCGCGCACAGTTACTACTACTCAATGAGCTACGCTAGACAAGCCAACGGGCAACTAGCTAACAACCAGCCAATCTGTCTGTTCTTCCCAGTCATAAGAGTTGAAAGCGTTGATTTATAGAGTCATCTTCTTAAGCCAAACAGTTCTAAAAATTATTACACGCATACATCGATATATACATATGTATGTACATATATTCAATGCTATAAATGCCATGTGTTCATGTATACATGCCCATGCACCCATATACATATACGCTTATGTACTCATATGCATTTTTTGTTCGACAGCCTCATTGGCCTCATCGGCCTCATCAGCAAAATTGCATGTTATTGATATTGTCGAGTATTTTAATGCCTCTTAAATGTACAGGAAAAACTTTATAGCCATTTAATAGTTGTACTTTGAAATGTTGTATTACTTACCTTTGTTTTCTCTTTTTTGCCTTATCAGAACCGTGCATGCGCCACCTATTAGCGATAGCAAGAAAATCAGAAAAAGTAACAGACATTCTGTAGATGACGCATTGTTGACTTATGCAATCCTCGCCGGGTTATGAAATGTAAAAATTATTAACATTTAATAATTTCCCTTCTTAATTTAATCGAAACGGAGGTATAAACTTCAATAAACCATAAACATATGTCGCACATATATACGAATCATTCAATAGTCGCGGAATAAATAGCAGCACAACGTTTGGGCACGCTGGGTGATTCGCTCTCTGAGCGAAAACAAATGAATGCCACAACGCCGTGGAAAATTTAACAAATTAGTCTTCTTTCGCTTTTTTTTTTTCTCGTTCCCATTTGTACACCTACTCATAGCTTGAAAAAGACGATCCAGCGTCTGCATGCACGGCCTCAAACTTTCTTTTCTTCTTATTGCTTCGCTACCACAAAAATGTTGCCAAAGGTTGAGCAGAGAGTTCAACTTGGCAGTTCTTTAAAGCGGACGGAGAGCTTCGCATTGTAAGCAGTACGGCAAGTGTTAATGTTTGAATGTTGAATCGTTTCATATTCATAGTTGCAAAGACCTCATGTGCAAAGATTACCATCTTGTCACGTACGGGCATATACCGATGCATTAATATGCGGTTAGAATGATACATATGGCAGACGTATTCCTATCGTCTTCTTAACCCAAGGAAATTATATTGGGTCACAGAAATTCTTGAGAACTATATTAATAACATTTTCATTGATTTTCTGAATAGTGCACGTTTTCTTAGATCAAAAGACTTAAGACATAAGCCTTTTAATTAGTCTTAAATAAATTTTCTATTTTCCATACGTTGAAATAGGAAATTTGTCTATTATGTTATTCTTTACATTAAATGGGATCAAAGAGAGACAAACGACGACCAGCATTAAAGCAAAGCTAGAATGGAAGTTTTAGACCGCATTAGTCGGCTCTTTGATTTGTTAGAAAATTTTTTTAGTGTTTAATATGTGCTCACCATAAGACTTGGTCTCCCTGTCAATCAAATTGATTAAAACACATTATAGTAAAACTAAATTGATATCAGCGACTTTGATGTAGTTCTATCAAGCGTTATGGGGCCAGCAACATCAAGCAGGTAACTTAACGGCTTTTGTGTGCATGAATGTGCATATACGATCGCATGTTTGTGTGCATTTGTGTGAGAGTCCGTGCGTCTAACTCTGTTTCTATCAACTAGGAAAGTACATGGTATGTATGTACAAACGTTCATACCTTATTTGTCAAGTGTTTAGCATGAGTTGTCAATGAGGTACAGTGGAACAGTTTGTCATTTGTCCCCCAGGAAGCTCACACAGTATTGATGACGCCGTTGATGATGAAAACCAAGTCCCCATTAAAACCAGTTTGTTGTGTATAATGTTTTCAAACGAATACATACACAAGCACATCTTTCGTTACACTAAATTCTCCTTAAAACATTTGCCAAAAAAAAAAGAAAAAGAATAAAAATGAAATCCCGATCTGAAAAACAATTTGATTTATAGCGTTAGCCAATATAGAATACAAATTCCGGCAAAAACAAATTGTAAAATCTAGTTTGGCTATGTTTGCTTTTCATATAAATAAATCACAAGAGGTACAAGCACTACAATCGTTTCCTTACGTCTGTGATTAAATTAACTACTTAACAAAAACCCGATGAGCAAATATTGGGTCATCTTAAAAATTAGCTATCAAGCGGCTCAGCTAATTCAATTAGCAGACTTAATAATTTTTAGACTGTGCTACTACGTTACATAAGTCTTTTAATATATATTGAAAGTCGTAGTAAAATTTAAAAGCTTTCACGGTGTTTTACTAAGCACTGCGAACAGTTATTGGGGCAAATCTCGGTAACTTTAATGCGCTAGTGGAATGATATTAACCGAGTTTGTCATAATCAAAATTTTACAAGAAAGAGCAGTCAACACAATATCCCCTTTCTCGTTCGGGCATCTCATGCCTCAACCAGGGCAATTATGTATTTGCATACATTTTGTATGTCATACACACGCTCGATCAATTCGGCTTCTGTATATAATAATAAACGTTTAACTACTTTTTAAAGAGCAGTTAACACATGCTAGGTTAGACGCCTTTAAAGCCATTATAAGATTGGCATAGAGTAAACCTAGCAAGGTCTAATAATAATCAAATTAAATTTACTGCTTTTGACCAAACACCCTTGTTGCTTAAGCTTTAGAATAAGCGAAATAAAAACGAGCATTCACAAAGCACTTCTTCAAAATATTTCCGAAGTGCGTATAACGAAGCTTATGTTAAGCCTGTTACACTTTCGAACGTCTTTTTTAAGCTTATATCTTAACATTTTTAGGCAGCTTATCTCGCAATGTTTGTACGTTTAATCATGAAACAATATAGATAATCTTATACACAGTAGCACCGATCTACATTTATAATCATGACGATAAATGAACAACTCCCCTGTCTTGTTATAAAATTCGGTCGGGCTTACATTCATCACACGGACGTAAAAATGAGTAGAATATTAACATTCCCAGCGAAAACTTAAGCTTAATAATTATTTGCTAGTCTCAAAATTTGGAGCATGCGAAAATGTTGCAACGCTACTGAACATCAATCTTCAATAACTTACAATAAATATAGAGACGAATGTTTCTTAAATACGGTTTCGGAAGGTCTCAACACAAATGTTTTCGTATTTAAAATGTTTATCAACAGCACCATATGGAAGTTTAACACTGAAAGAAAGTACTAGCTTTTCGAATTGAAGACGGATATGCATCTTCCAGACGAAATATGAAACCTGAAGGCGGCTCGTCAAATTACTGCTCACATTAAAAAGATTCTGTGTAAAAAAGTGAATAGAAAAATTTTAAATACTGATTACATTTATGTTCATGTGCTCAGTTATACGAACTCATCTAAATTGTTTTAGTATTTAAGGAAGGAGTCACATTCATGTGACATTCAGATTATCCGTTAATAGATTCCACATTAAATTTTTGTTAGAAAATAACAGCACAAATAGAAGACTATGAAGTAGTATAGATTTTTATCAGTAATTATTTTATTGTTTAATGATGTGTAAATAAAACTTCAGCGACGAGAAAACTATTTTTTTTTTTTTTATTCTTGTTTTATGTTTTCGAGGGCAAGAAAGGCGTCAAGAATTATTTCAAAACCGTAAAGCTAGACTAGTTTTAAGAACAAGTTACGTAATTCTATTTAGTTCCACTTTTTGGTGTTTTTCAAAATCTTTGGGATACTAGGCAAAAAAGAAAAATAATAAAGGAGAAAAGGATAATAATAAATATGGCAAGTCCGTCTTACTTAACCCGTAAATAATCGGAGTAAGATTTAAATAAGCTTATTAAAATAAGAAAACGTTCCTTCCGAACGAAATGCTTAGCTTATGGCACATGAAGCATTAAAAACAATATGAAAATCAAGTCAAGCTTATTACTTTTGTTTCATATACATGGTAACTATCTTTTCTAATATATTTTCCACTGAGAGTTTCTCCTCACGAAATGTCTCCATTACTTTTATTGGCACTATCCAATTAAGTAACTCTTGCACATTTAAACGCATGCGTTCAATGGGTGTTAAATTAGGATCATCGTGTACTTTTCGTTTAGCCAATTTCAATGAAGCCATAATCACATTATCTATGAGCCGTTTTTCAAAGCCTAACTGCTGCAATTTCTGGTTGGACGAAATTTTTTTGAGTAATATAGCCATATGGAAGCGTATATGCGATAATATTTGAGCTTCATTGTAACGCGCATCCTGTTCGTCTATATTGGATGTACACTTATCGCAGCGATGTTGATGAGCTTCCAATTCAATTTTTACTTTAAAAAATTCATGACAACCCTCACACATATAAGGCTTAAATTGATTGTGTATCTTTTTCATGTGCGTTTTCAGATGAGCTAACTGAGAGAACGCTACCTCATCATCTTTACACAGTAAGCAATTGAAGGGCTTTTCTCCGGTGTGTTTACGTATGTGTAATTTTAAAACACTCGAATGAGCAAAAGTTTGACAGCACACCTGTGAAAGGTATTAATTTAAGTTATGTTTTTCTCCTTGCAATAATAAAAGATACTTAAATTACCTGGCATTGATAGGGACGTTCGCCCGTATGCATTCTCATGTGCACATTGTATTGTGACTTTTGCATAAACATTGAATGGCACACTTCGCACACGTGACTCTTTACATTGGCATGAGTTTTCATATGCGTAGCCAAGTCTTCTTCTTCTATAGTTTGCTTGCATACTTCACATTCGACCTGCTTCAGTTTGTAGTGCGTCTTTGCCACATGGGTTTTAAGTAACACTTCATTCACGAAGTGCTCATTACAGATGTTGCAATAATGTTCCGGGCCGTGCTCATGCCGTTCTAAGTGAGCTTTTAAATTTGAGGAGGTCGAAAATCGTGTCGAACATTTTTCACATTTGAATTTCTTCGGGGCATCCTGATGATGACTAACCGTATGCTGGTGTAGCTGAATCAGAAAACATTACATAGAAATGTGATCTTTATTATATTTTATTGAGTTGCAAAATTTACCTGACCACCGCGAGCAAAACGTTTATCACACTGACTGCAAGCGTAAGGCTTTTCACCAGAATGCAAACGCATATGCAGCTTGAGACGTTCCTTCAGAGCAAACGTTTTCGGACATTGATCACAAGAATACTGTTTCTTTCTAGCGTGAGCCGTTGTAATGTGATTTTTAAGATTGATGGCTTGACGATAGCACTTACCGCATTGTTCACATTTGAAGGGCTTCTGATCGGAGTGTATCAATTGATGACGTTTGAGGTCAGTATTGCCGCCAAACTCTTTATTGCAAACTTCGCAAATGTATGATTTGCGTGATCTTTTGCCGGCTGGCGCACCCACAACCGGTTTACAATCGTTTTGTGCAACCGTTGCGTTTATATCAGTTTTATTTTCTTTTTCATCTTTACCGTTGTTCTTTTCTTCTGCTGCCAACTGATTATCTTCACTATCGCTGTCAACAACCTTTTCGATAGAACTTTTTGACACAGTGGGATCATCTATTGTACGCTGGATCGTATTTTCGTCATCCGTTACAAACAATTTATTAAGAATAGCTTCCTCTTCGTCCTCGCTGAGATGATGGTGAGACGGGAAACGCGTTTGATTTGACGATGGTGAAGACAATGAAATTCCACTGTCTGTTAAAACCGAGGAAGCGTCCTCTTTCGAAATGGAACGGCGACTGCGCACCATTTATATAGATTTTTATATTAATTATTAAGGAAATTGTATTAATAAAAATGGATGACTGATGTAATAGCTGAAAGAGGGAAACCGTCACCAGCAACAGGAACGAAACAGCGGCTGTATTAAATGCCTCTGTCTAATAAATGTTTTTGTTAAGCAATTCCAATCAATTATTTTCGTTTTTAATTTACTTGAATTTCCGCCAATCACCCAACACCAGAGTTTAAATTGTCAATGCATTTTTAGATATTTTAAAAATTATTAGCTTAGTTGTTTTTTTTTTTTTTTTGTTTTTATTTTTTTTAATCTTAGGGATTATACTTAGATTACAAAGGCTTTTAAAACTGTAAGAGAAAAGATATATTAGGAAATATAAATAATAATTAAAATCAAACCGCAGACCACAGCAAGGTTAACTATCGAGTAATATGTAAGTAGACTCTGATGCTTCTTTCCTAACTTTGCTGTTATCATATAATTATCATATTTTCCTAATGACTAAACAAGAAAACAGCTGTTTAAACGCTTACGTATCGCGGCATAGCGCTGCGATAAAGCCAACAAAACTAACCTAAGTTAAAACTTTATATATATATATATATATATATATACATAATATACACATACATACATACGCATATGTGTACACACAGACACATTTTGATAAGCGTACATATGCACAGATATAAAGAAAAATATTACAAAATTTGATATAAATAAATAAATAACAGTACCAGATACAGTACCATACGAAAGATCTAAATAAAGATTAAAAAAACTCACACATATGCAGCAGCACTTATTGAGATACACATCATTACACATACGCATACATTGGCAGGTTTGCTTCCTTAGTCTTTTGTTTAGTTAAGACTCCAATGCAGGCACATCTAATAGCCGATAAGAAACTGTTATCATCCAATAGCGATGATAAGCGACACAAAATGAGGAAAAAGATATGAATGATTCGAAAACATAAAAAGGAATAAAGAAAAAACACTTTTTCTGGGTTCTGATAACGTTAACAAGTTCAACAGAACATTTTTATTGCATTATAAAAATATTTTTATTTATTTCTAAAGCGTTTGACAAATTTGACGCAGCTGCTCTTCTACTGCTGCTCTTGCGTTGGAGCAAAGTATTTTAACAAACTGATTTAATGGTAGTGATGGCACATTAGGCATAACTGAACGATTTTTCAAATCAAGCAGGAATTGTTCAGTAGAACTTTAAAAAAAACATTTTAAAAATTGGAAAAAATGAGCAAACCCATGTAAATACATATGCACAATGTCTATGTATATATGTGTATATATTTAATTATGTAAGTTTGTATATAAGTACGTACAAGCACTGTGATATTTAACACTAGCAAAAATTCATTTATTCGTATTGTATAAAATTCAAATAAGACGGAACGGTGTTGTTGGGTAACGAAAAAAAGGGCAAAAAACAGAAACTATTGCTGATAAAAATACAACAAAAACAACAATAACAAGTACTTGGTAAGAAGAAAACAGTTTTAATTTTTTATTTATTTATTTTTTTTTTTTTTTTGTGTTTTGTACGCTATTGGAAATGGAAACTAAAAATAAAGCACGGAAACACAGAGTATCAAACCAGACCAGTGGTGCCGTCTGACACAAACACATCAATATATGCATATATATATATATATATATATATATATATATAAATATTTATACATGTGTGTGCTGCACATCGTCTAACAAGGCACATGTGACTGGCAGATGTTTATTAATAGTCGATTGTGCGGTCATATATAAAAAAAAACTTCACGCACACTCGTATATATATATTCGCTATTCAGGCATATGAATACAACATTGAACTCTATTGAAATTAAAAACGTAACAAACTATAAAAACGGGCATAATTCTAAAGTAGTAAAATTACTACACTCCCTTGTCAGGCCATAACGCACTTATACGCTTATATACACACGTAGGTGAATACATGTATATTGACGATCTCAGATTTCATAATTTTCTTTAAAAAAGTAATAAAAATTTTTGGGCATGGTTGACTAAACCCTCACCCAGCTACCGTTTCCTCTTAATAATTGATGAAGCCGAACTGCTGACAGAAACTCAATTAAGAACTCTTTGAAACCAAAGTTATAAAAATGAAAACAAAAGCAAACTACAAAACATCTAAACAACTACTCGAGTTTTTAACATTAAATTATCGCTATGGGTTTCAATTCAATTCTTTTCATTTCATTTGCTTCCCTTTTGAGTATTCTTCATACATTCATGGAAATTGTTATGCAAATCAATTAAAGGTGCTGCGTTGACAATTCCGACAGAACAGTTGGCACTTTTCTTCTTCACAATTTTCTTCGCTGCAAGACTCATAAATATAATGATATATATATATACATATACATATGCATATATACATATATAGACGTATATATATATCAGTCATCAGATATTTATAGCTAGACATTAAAAATGCAATAACACTCTTCTAGAAAATAAAACATATTTTTTTACTTTGTCGAGTATTCATGTATACACATACACGTTAACTTCCATGTTTGTCTGTCCGTCCATTCATCTAACATTCGATTTCTCAAAGTCGGGAAAACGTCAACAATGCAATCTTCAAAACACCACGCAGTCGATAATAGATTTTTAATATTCTGACTGTGCGCGAACTTTAACAGCTTTATAGCTAAATTTCGCCAACGACCTGATGAGTGAAAATAGAAGACATTAATAATGAGCCCATCGCCTTAAATAATTTTTAATATTTGTAGCCCTTTCAATAGATACACAGGCGAACGGACAAATATATGATTCTGGGTATAAACGCTGACCTTAGATATGTACGCTCTGCGCGACCTTAGATAGTATTTCAATAATAAGCTTAAGACAGCCCCCCGGCACCGTACAAATTCAGACCAAACTATAGCTTAAACACGACAATTTTCGTAAAGGATATTATTATTATCATTTTAACACTTTCTATCATAGAATATTGATTAATAATACCACTAAAATATATCAAGGAGTCTACGAAGTTCATATATATTTTTGATTAGGATAATATTAAATCACTGTCGACAGCGTTTTCTATCTGCCAATATTCTGTTTGTAAATAAAATAAACAATGAAGGTGAAAAGTTAAACATGATATTATTTCAGGTTCACCCTGTAAAAGTAGCCAAATGTGCCTAGAAATAAACCTACTTGCCACAAGAAACAACAACTTCTAAATTAAGTTTTTAAGAGCTTAGCAAATATCGATCAAAAAATTACTGTCAGACTCATCTTAAATATTAGTTGCGAAAAGAGTTCCGATAATATGTTCCCTCATGTTCATATAAAAAAAGATTTGCTTTTTCATACCTATTTGCTTATGACGACTCAGACTTTTTTTTGAAGTGGGTATAAACTTCCTTTTCTTTATATACGTTGCTGCAATTGCCGTAAATTGATAATGGCTTAGAAATTGTAAACGATTAAATGGGAAATTAAAATGATCACTTATCCAAATTATGATACATAATTTAATAAAACGTTTTCCCAAAAACCTACGGTTGTTTCTTGTTGCTTATGAAAATGCTGTGTGCATTGAGCCAAAAGCTATATTCAATTTGCTTCATTATCCTATCTTTAAGATTGGAACAAGGAATAAGACTACATCATTTTTTTTAACAAAGAAGTTAGTGCTTTTTTCAAATTTCAACTATTTTTCTTAATTCGTACGGCTTTCAAAATTTCAACAGTAAATGAAAAATGGAGTGTTTAAGTCGACTCAAGGATAATATGTAAAGAAAAACAGTTTACGCAGTCCTTGTAAAGTAGTTTTGAGCGATCTAAGCGAAACTGAAAAATTATTCCTTTTCCCCGGTAGTAATCAGCTTACACTACTACTACTAAAAAAAAGTAAATAAACGAAACTGCAACCACACCGTGCTTTAATAATAGAGAATATTATTGTAAAAATATGCGATAAAGGTGAAAAATTAGATAAGAAGTTAAAAGCAATTTATTTATAGAATTTGCTTAGAGCATAAAACAAGCAGCTAAAAGAATAAATTTAACAAAATTTCGTAGCAAAAATATATATTTGTTCAAAGATTACTTAAAATTAATTATAAAGACAACGGTAATAATAAAATAGAAACAAGCACTAGAAAAAATTAATTCAACTACAAGAGTGCATATGGTATTTTTTAGATAAACAAGGTTTTTTACGTGCATAAGTGGATAAGAAAAAAACTTACCTTCTTCATATCGTCACTGTCACCACAAATACAATTCAATAATTAAAGTATTCATTTACTTACTAAAGAAAATTTTTACATACACTTTTAATTGTAAATAAATACTAGTCGTTCTTGTTCTTTTGTCACCTTCCTGAAGAGGAATGATGAGATGCGCCAGAAGTAACAATGAAACGTACTCATTGCTCTTATGTATAACTTTGTTAAAAATATTTTTTAAATCTTATTTTAGTTAATTTATAATACACGATATTAGTTAAAATTACTTCTAATTACCAAGCCAATCAGATTAATTAAATCGAAAGAATTGCTTAGAAAACCATATGCGCTATTATTGTTTACTCATAAAAACGCTGATTCTCTTGCCTTTTGCTCGTTCTCTTTAAAAGTATTGCCATAACAAAGAAGACAAGAAAGACACTTTGAATACTAAAAACCCTACGATAACGGCTTTAGGGAAACTATACCATACGTTGCAGAAAATATAAGTAAAAACCATTAAGATTTTTTCTAAATAACTTCACAAAATTTCCTGAGTAACATCTAAATTATATTTACGGCACACTCAATATTTTAGTATGTATTAAGCCTTTTTTTAGAGAGACACGATTAAATCGAAATGCCTTGCAATATTTGTGCACGATATTTCATTATAGGCGATTGGCACTAATGAAAAATGTGAATCAAAACATATGGTTTTAGAATTAATAATAAAGAAATCAACATAAATATAAGCAGCAAACTCATGAAGAATAACAGGAATAACAGGAAGTTTATATATAAGTAAACAAATTTGTTTTTTGATTAATGATGAAGATTGTTTAGACATATGTAGGTATATATATTAGATATATTTTTGTGTATTAATTGATTCATAATTTGGAAACTACCATTTAACGGTCTCTAATAAAACAATTTGATGAATATATTCAAACATTAAAATAAATGGTCTTTATTGCTTGTTTTTTATTTCTTACAAATAATGCACGACGAAACCAAAATGGCAAATCACGTAATATAAAGAAAATGTACATTGGTGTAAGATAAACATAAATTATATAAACAGTTCAAAATTGAAAATAAATTGCTTTTATTTCTCCGTGAGCGTTGTGTTCTATTTGCTTTATTTGTATGTATGTATGCAAATCCATATGGTTTGTCAATTCCCATAAGAAGTCGGGAAAGTGAAAGTGCCAAGCAGAAAATAGGAATAACACCAAATTGTGTTAGCCTCCGATTTGCAATAGCTATATTATTAAATTGTACATTATCAAATTTGTGATTTAAAATCATATATTTAGTTTCTAAAATAGTATGGTACTTAAAAAATAATCGCAATTAAGACGATCCTTTTTGATAATAACATTTATTAAATAATTTTTTATTCTGAAAACGCTAAAAGTTTTTGTATTGCCTTTAATTCCGTTCAAACTGAGCTACAACAAGTATTTCGTCTTTTCAACGTAATCAAAATAGCACGAAAAGCAGAAAACGATTTTGTTTCTAGTTTATGAATTTTTGTTTGCGCATAAAAATTAAGAAACGAAAAAAAAGCAAAAATATGGCAACTTCAGTATGCTAAGATGGTTGATATATTAAAGCCAAATGCATATTGAAAACAAAATATGCGTGAGCAACATCAATAGCACGTGAAGCGCACTTTTTTTTAAGCTAACCCCCCTAAGTACCGTTTTAATCTAAGTTCGTTTAACCGACAATTTGATTACTTGTAGTAAGTAAAGCTTTAATGTAAATATATCAAAATAATAAAACGAAAGAATAAACCTTATACAATATTCCAGTTGGAGGTATTTTGTTGGCATGGCTGGTGTTTTATTTGAAGACATATTCAATGTCAAGGACATGGATCCCGAAGGCAAAAAGTTTGATCGTGTTTCTCGCTTGCATTGTGAATCTGAATCCTTTAAAATGGACTTGATATTGGATATAAATTCTTGGTTATATCCTATGGAATTGGGCGATAAATTTCGTTTAGTTCTAGCCACTACATTACGTGAGGACGGTTGCCCCGATGCCGGCGAATATAATCCTCTCGAACACGATGGAAGTCGAGCTGATAGTTTTGAATATGTTATGTTCGGCAAAGTATATCGCATAGAAGGTGATGAAGCGCATAATGAAGCATCGTCTCGCCTGTCAGCATACGTATCATTCGGTGGTCTATTAATGCGCCTGCAAGGTGATGCAAATAATTTGCATGGTTTTGAAGTGGACCAACAAATGTATTTATTGATGAAGAAACTAGCTTTTTAAAATCATTTCACTTTTTTTGATATGAGTTGCTCATAAGATAGAATATAATAACAAATTACGTGTGTACAGTTAAGAAATCCTAAAAGATGAAAGCAATATAAATAGAAATAGATAGAAGCATATTAACTCGATACTTTAGATATATGCTGTAGATATTATTGTATGAGTTTCAAGTCTCAACATTATATAAAATAAGAAAATTTAAGTTCGTAAATTTGTTAATGTTTTTTTTTCTAATTTTTTCAATTGCTTTAAAATCACCTACGTCGCTTTTAGAACTTCGATCAGTAAGGGACTAATTGGAGTCTAAAAGAAAAGAACGGATTTAATTAAATTGCAAAGCTTAAATTTGAAAGAAATAACAATTTTCTAACTGCTGGTTGTCAATTTTTGCAAAATTTCTTTATAACCGTTTAAAAATCCACCAAAAATGTAATTGGTATCGTTGACAAAAATTATAAGGAGTATAAAATTTACTGGTTTTGAATTTGTTGATATCTTACAAGTGATCGTATGTGAATGAAGGGCTTAGCGGCTTCATGAGTTCATAAGAAAAAATTTTGGAATCTTGTCTTATGTGACAATTTCAGTTTTTTATGTGAAAATTCCTAGGATACTTAAATTGCAACCTGTAATGAAGGATTTATCAAAGATAATTTCAATTTTCTAGCCTTTAATTCAATATGGATTAATGTCCGTGGATAACGAATCGCCAGGAATTGAGGACTTTAACACGTTGACGCTCACTTTAAAATCAGTGAGTGCACACGCACATTTCTTTCTTCTATCGTAATACTAAGAATAAAGAATTGTTATAGACGTCGCGTCTGTCTACAAGCAAATGCAATGGATGTCTATAGACGTCATTTACATTAACGCGTTACAATGTCAAACAGTGTTTACTTTTTTTTTTTAGTAGCGCGGCCAATTAAAATCGTTGAAAAAACCCCCAAAAACTATCAACTAAACAAGGCTAATAAATACCGTACGGTTCACATACTATTAAATGTTAGTAGTGCACCAAATTTAGTGACGTCTATCAGCTAATATGTGTCTTGTCAAAACCTCATCCACTTTCAGTAAAAAATTGTCTAAAGTCGGTTCAATCGAAGTTGTTCGATCGAAGTTATCAAAATATACCAAAAATAAGACGAAATTTATATAGAAAACATCTTTGGAGAAATGTCTGTGATTAATTAAATGGCAAGAAGTTACGATTTTTTTTGAGTATCCAAATTTATAAATGATTTTGTATTTTTCCTTCCTGAAACACCCGTTAATCAGCTTGAATTAGAAAAGAGCTGCGAACACAGACGACATCGGGTATAACGTTACGATATAGTAGTACGTAGTAGTTGACACTATGTTAATTATGTGACTTTCTTCGAAGGTTCTTAAAATATTGGAATTTCGTTGCTCACCTTAATAAAAGTTTCTTTTTTATTTAATTGTTATAGTCTCGCACTACTCTCAGTATGTAGTCTAGAAATAAAAATACTAGAGAAATCGTGTTGCCTAAAAGATTCCCCGGTCTAGCGAGAGCTTTAAAATTCACATCGCTATCTTATTTTTAATAATAAATGTGGAACCTAACAATTTAAGGGATTGTCCGTATAGCTTTTGCTAATATAATTCTACCAGCGAACTTTGAAGTCAAGTATCGCGTCTATCTATAATTACGTTAAGAAATTCAGTTAGATTTCATTCGCGCTCATACTCACTCATGTTTAAAAAATGTTTATGAAATGTCCTAAGCTGACAAAGTGTAAATTTGTGTGTGAGTATATTATAAAATTATTCAATGAGACCCCTGACCCGCATGGGACGTTCAATTACACGCAATACGATTTGTGGTATAAGAGTGTGTGAACTTTGTTTGGATGTATGTAACACCCACAAGGATTTGAGATAGATCCACTTTTTATTAAACCCTTCAATTCAGAATCACTTTCGGAATTTATCTAAGTTTGTCTGTCCGTTTGTACCTCTTATTTTCTTGTGTTCATCCACAGCCAGCAAATTTTGATGAAATTTAGTATGCTGACGCGTTTTGGCTGAAGAACGAACGCTATTGAAAATGTTTCGGATAGGATCATTTTTGAACCAATTTCCATACAACCAGTTTTTGAAAATGAAACAAAAATATTTAATGCCAGGCCATGATCCACTACAGTGGTTTTACTTGCATTTTTTAAAATGTGTAAAAAAAGAATGTACATGTTTGATGAAAAGGAAAAACGTATTGCATATTATTATAAGAGAAAGTACATAATGCGAAATTTCGGAGCAGATATTTTCGTTTACGGAATGGAATCTTGCTCAGGTCGACTTAACTCTGATAAAGATTGGCCTTTATCTGCATTTTGATGACATCGGGTATAATATCAATATCCATCCATGAACTTTTTGAAATCGATTCAACATAAATTCAAATTATATTTGATTATAGTATTTTATACATAAAGCATGGTATTGTGATCCCGAAAACTAATGAGTTTAATGTTAGTAAATTTGTTTCTTCTTACCGAAGTATCTCTACAAATTCGAAGGATAGATCGGATTCGCAGAAAGGAATGTGCAATCAACTGAGATATATTAAACGTATATTTTTATTGGCATTTCTTACATTCCTTGCCTCCTTCAGCCCGGCTGGATTTGAATTTATAGTTCCACTCAAAGATAACAATGTTTCAAGTTTTCATCACCAACAATACTAAACAAGGAATAAAAACAAAAAATTAGCTGTTCTCGTATTTTCGAGACATAAGATGAATACGACGGAGTGTTCTGTTCAATGCAATCTATGACTTAGGATAGTTTGAAACATTTTCGTAATGTATTTTAATTAATTTCTTCAAGTATTACATATACGAATCCATAGATATAGAAAAACAAACACAAAGCCTTTCGTAGTGCGACTATATGCGTACATATTGGCAACCGATCTAATTTTAAACTTTTTATTGTTTATAATTTTGTAAATAGTTCAATACCATGTTGGATTCTTTCGGTTGGGATAATGGTAAAAACCAATGTTCAGTTGAATATACTTCTATATAAACGGATACGCTTCTGAACGCTTGTTCCCAACTCTTTTCAAATAGGCAACGTACTTGTTTCCATGTGTACATATATGCGTACGTTGATTGGTATTCTTTTATATCATTTTTTACTTTTGTTTTCATAAATAACCAATACGAACAAGTGAAATGTTTAAAAGGTGTGAAGAAATTTATTCATGTGCTCTTGCAAATGATGTGTGTTAAATGTATAATACGGACGCGCGTACAACAGCCCGGCTGGATATGGATATGCCTTGATGTGCATACAGTGATGCTGCTCCATCATATCCCCGTTGATATTTTTGGTCTGAACGTTTTAAATGTGGCGATTTGATGTCAATGACAAAGAACGTTGTGGAGAATCAAAAAAGTTCAAAGACAATGAATTGGACGACTTATTGAACGAAAGCCCAGCTTAAACACTCAACGCACTTTCAAAGAGTTTAGCAATCAAAATATTGACAGTTCTGCAGACGTTTACCTACGATGGGAAAGATAAAAAAGGGGGGAAAATGGCAACCACATGAATTGTCTGAAAATGCCACCTCAAATCGTTTCAATATCGCGATTTCATTGATTGCCATGTAAAAGCAGAAGAATAATCTGCGGCGTACTGTGACTAGCACAGCAAAGTGCGTCTACTACGACACTTCCGAGCACAAAGAGTCATAGGCTACGAGAGTAATCGACATCGATACCGCAGTGAAATATTCATGACAATAAAGTCTTGCTGTGCATATGATGAGATCATTAAGGTGTAGTATGTTACGAGGTACTAAGACCAAATGAAACTATAACTGCAGACGTTTATTGACGTCAACTGAACAAATCGATCGACTTTTGGAATCAAGAAGCCATCAATAGCTGTTTTTTTCTTGTATGCCACCGCAAGACCACACGTTGCAAGAGTTGTCAAGGATACACTGTTGCTGGATACACTCGAATGGGAATTTTGCCACACTCACCAGACATGGTGTTTTCTTATTACTACTTGTTCATATCAATGCAACATGACTTAGGTGACACGTGGTTCCACAAAGTTGAAGAAGTGCCGAAATGGGTCGATGACAAGTCGATCGTTATCAAGTCAATATCGTTCTTCCAACGCGGTATCGCCATCTTGCCAGAAAGATAGGCAAGAGTTATAGAAAATGGTGGAAAATATTTTGATTAATGCATATTGTATCAATTTTTAAATCATTGTTCTAATCATCAGTGTTCAGTCGATCGAATCCCAGCTTAATGAAATTCATCAATTATCAATAAATAAATTCAAAATTATCATTTTTAACAAAGAAAGATCATTTAAAAATGTTGCCAGTCTTTCAAAAAAAATGATTAAAAATTTGTCAATTCATTGAGATCTATTTTTATTAGAATTAAAAATTTTTATTTGTTTCAGATTTTATTTTATACTCTACGCGACTTGCGATGTAGGGTATATTAGTCTGTAACACCCAGAAAAGCTTACGATAGATCCATCTTTTATTATACCGACCGAGTCACAATCGAAGTCTGTCTGTCCGTCTATCCATCTGTCTATGCAATTTTTCAGATATTTTCATGAGACAAGATAATATGGTACATGGTACATGGTGCATTGTGTTTTTAAAAATGGTACTGATCAGTCCACTTTTCCGAACCGCCACGTTTTTGAACCTCCTCTTATATAATCGCTCCTACGAAAACTAAATCTTGATAAGATAAAAAATTATAACTTTATTAACGAATTGACATAGAAATAATCTTCACCGACTTTTCTCCACGCATATCTATTTTTTGAATACCACCATATATATATAAGGACTCTTAGAAAATTCAAACCCTTATATGTCAAAAAGGACAAAATGAGCATATCCCCATCCTTGGGCGGTGGGTATAAAAATAATAATGACGATCACAAAATTTCTTTTTCACTAAAAGTTACAGTTACCTCTTCTTTTTTAAAAGTTGGCTGAAACTTCTTTTCTTAACGATAGAATAAATATAAAAGAGTAAGAAATTGAAAAAAAATCCTGCGGAACACATATTCGCCTGTATATATGCATGAAAAATAATTTATATTCACTTTAAAGCAATTTACTTAACTATATAGTAGGGCGCGACAGATCAAACAGCGTTGGCACAGATCGAAATGTTCTTTACATTATAGT